TTGTTTGTCAATGCCAAATACTTTTGTTATTTTGTTTGTTTGTTTACAATATGGACACTCTGCAATAATTTAAAAGTTTATTTTATTCGCAAACCTAATTTGTATTTATTTTATTCCAAACAGAAGTGTTTATTTATTATTGTGAAAGCTCGAGACAGTGCCAATAGTTCAGTGATATTTTGTTAAATTACAATGAGGAGACTGCAATAATTTAACAGAAGTGCTTATTTTTCACTTGATATTTTTTTGTGGTCATTTTTATTAAGATTTTATTTTTTATTGGCAGATAATGAAATAAAACCTGTCTTCCAATTCATTGCATGTGTGTTTGTGTGTGTGTGGTAGAAGTATCGTTTTTGTACTCTGTATCGGCAAGTACTCAGATCCAAGTATCGGTATCGTATCGTTTTAAAAAAATTGGTATCGTTGCATCCCTATCTGGGACACTATGGTAATTTCTTGTGAAGCACTTGGTGATGTTTATGTTGAAAGATGCTATAGAAATAAAAATGTACATACTTTTACTTTACCTGCTCACCTTCTCTAACCTTCACATTTGTCTCCACTATCGGCAGTTATGTAATGATGATGCCTTTCAAGCGTCAGGCTCTGGTGGAATTCGACAGCGTGGAGAGTGCTGAGCGCTGCGTGTCATTCGGAACCCGTGATGCCGTCTACGTCGCTGAGCAGCAGGCTTTTTTTAACTTCTCTACCAGCCAGAGAATCACCAGACCCACCAACACAGACGACCCCTCCAGTGGAAACAAAGTCCTCCTGTTGTCCATACAGAACCCTCGGTATCCCATTACCACTGTAAGTCCTTTACCCCACCTAAGACTCTTGCCATACCTTCAACTTGTGTTAGAAAAGAAACTTTTTGCTCTGAGCTAAAACTCTTTAACCAGGTCTCTTTTTACCCTTCAAGGACGCCTGCTCCCGTGTTAATAATGATTACAGTCATTGTACATTAGTTAAAATGTTTGCCTCAGGAATACCCTGCCTTCTGAGATACAGAGATACAAGCTTACATTGTCAGACATCTATTATTAGCAAACCCTCTGTGCCTTTGCTCTGTGAATACATTCTTTATCTGTGTACACATCCTCAACAATATCTTTGTAATTTAGATTAGTGCTAATGTCTCACTGCTTATTTGTAAAATAATGTAAGCTTTTAACTTTTAGTCAAAATTAGCTCATAAATGTGTTAAAGCCCATTTTCCATTTCTGTTTTCTTAAGTCCATTTTCTTGGCGACCAGTAAGTACGTTGCAGTTTTTACAGTGTGGTCTCTGTCTTTCTCTCAGGATGTGTTGTA